ATCAGTGTTATCCGTGAAAATTTATTTCCCTATTGGATCATGTTCTTTAAGTCATAGCAATTATGAGTGAAAAATAATATCGCCCAAATGTCCACCAAATCTGAAAGAGAAAAAAAAAATCATTAGAAGCTTAAACTAAATTCGCATTAAAACCTGTCCAAGTTATTGGAACAACCTTTACATATATATATATATATATATATATATATATATATATATATAATTTTTTCATATGGACAAAAACAGTTGACTCACTATAAAGAGGCAACTAGTTTCGGTGCATTTCTGCACCTAGACTGGTGAGAATCAAAAATGGTTATGGATAAAATGGATAACCATTTTCTTTTCTCACCAGATGAGGTGCAACTGAAATCCACCGAAACGAAGTTTCCTCTTTGTAGTAAGTAATCTGTTTTTGTCTGTATGAAAAATTATAATAAATAATTATCGCTCTACTATCGGTATCGAGCCCTCTTTTGAATTAATGCTGTGATCGTAAGAACTCATATATTATTTTCGTTCTCATTGCATTTGTATATATATATATATATATATATATATATATATATATATATATATATATATATATGCAGTTCAGTTTTATAATTACATGAATATATATATATATATATTTTTTTTGTATGAATGATTCATGTATATATATATATATATATATATATATATATATATATATATATCTTATAGAACATATGATCGCCTTCAATAGATTTCAAATTTCGCTCATCGAATCATCCCCGAAAAACTGTTTAATTTCTTTTCCGAATAGTTTCCATCAGTTTATTTCCACATTTCCGCAAAATCTGATAGATATACACTGTGAATACACATGCTCACTCAACTGCATCGCCAAGTGAGTAGCCCAAGAGAATAGTTTTTGTTGACTCATGCGCAGTACGGTTGAATGTGCGATTACAAGTTACATCAAAGAAACGCAACCTGTCCAAAATATCTAGATATTTTGCGGAGGGACCGCGTAGAAATGTTAGCCTTCTGGTGTCTTCTTTCTCTTCGGACAGGCCCTTCACTGCCAGTTACATCAAGAGGATAGGCAAATTACCGAGAGAGTTGTATGTGTTCGTTTTTTAATTATTTTCTCTCGCCTAATAATAGCAAATGCTTTGGCATTTAAGTGGACAAAAGTAGACACTTTTGCTCAAAGCCGCTTGGTGATAATAATTTTCAAATCCTGTTGACATAAGAAGACCTAATGGTGTGGTGTATTTTTAGAGCAGACTCACAGAGGTTACCCGGTTTTAGGCGGTGGGCAGGAAATGGTAGGTTGAACTGGAATAGCCGTTGGAAACTGTCGGGTTGTGGCTGAATGAAACGAAGGAGCATTTACGAAAATATGGGAGTGCGTGGGAGGATGAGAGGGGGAGAGCAAGGCAGTGATAAGAAAAACGGGGGTGGGGGAGAATGAATAAATTAAGTAACGATTACGCGTTTAGAGAAGGAGCAAGAGAAGGTGAAGAAAAAAGGAAATGGGAAATGGAAAGAATGAAAATGTAAAACAGAGAAAAATATAGAGGAAATAAAGAAAAAGGAGAATGAAGAAGAAGAAGAAGAAGAAGAAGAAGAAGAAGAAGAAGAAGAAGGGGAGGAAGAAGAAGAAGAAGAAGAAGAAGAAGAAGAAGAAGAAGAAGAAGAAGGGGAGGAAGAAGAAGAAGAAGAAGAAGGGGAGGAAGAAGAAGAAGAAGAAATAAAGGAAGAAAATGAAAAACTTAAGGAAAGATGACATGTAAAGAGAATAAAGAAAAAGAAGAACTAGGGTAAAGAAAGAAATAAACAAAGACTGAGAATATATATATATATATATATATATATATATATATATATATATATATAAAGAAATATACACTTAAGGTGTGCTATATTTATAGAATAAAGTACACAATATCAGAGATAGAGCGTGTGTAAATATAAAAATATTGGCCTGACGATTGCATCTAGCAAGAAACAGCCTGCCGCTTCTAAGTGTTGACTTCAGTGTTCACTTATATATATATATATATATATATATATATATATGTGTGTGTGTGTGTGTGTGTGTGTATGTGTGTGTGTGTGTGTGTGTATCAGCTCTCTTACAACTCTAGTAATAAAGATATTTTCAATAAATAGAAAACTATATATGTAGATGCACTAATAAAAAACTAAATAAAAAGTTAATCTAAAATACCTCCACAATATTAAGATTGAGAACAAATTGCATAAGTACAGAAAATGCAACAGGGGGTGGCAACTGAATATATAGCCGGAGACGTCCAACAACTGAAATGTGATATTTGTAGTAAGTTAAGAAAATTGAACACTTCTAGAAAAAGAAGAATGAAAAAGAGAAGAAGAAGAAGAAGATCCTGAGAGACCCCTTTCAGCCTACTATCAGCATGAGTGATGCAAACCTTAAGGAGAGTGTTTCGTTGAACCTTCTCGGGCTAAGGTTCTCGACTGATATGAAATGGATAGGCTATATTGATTTCATTACTAGTTCAGATGCTAAGAAAGTTGGTTCACAATAAAGAGAAAGAAGTAAAATTAATGTAAGACTTGCCTGTAGAGAACATTACAGAAGACAACAATAATTAGAGCAACAACAACAACAAAGGAGGAGAGAGAAGGAAAACGTGAAGGAAACATAATATGTAAAGATAATAAAGATAAAATGAAAGAAAGAAAGAAAGAAAGAAAGAAAGAAAGAAAAGAAAAGAAAGTTAAAGAAAGAAAGAAAGAAAGAAAGAAAAGAAAGTTAAAAGACGGAAAGAAAGAAAAAAGAAAGAAAGAAAAGAAAAGAAAGTTAAAGAAAGAAAGAAAGAAAGAAAGAAAGAAAGTTAAAAGACGAAAAGAAAGAAAAAAGAAAGAAAGTTAAAAGACGGAAAGAAAAAAAAAAAAAGAAAGAAAAAGAAAGAAAGAAAAGAAAAGAAAGTTAAAGAAAGAAAAGAAAGAAAGTTAAAAGACGAAAAGAAAGAAAAAAAAGAAAGAAAGTTAAAAAGACGGAAAGAAAGAAAAAAAGAAAAAAAAAAAAGAAAGAAAAGAAAAGAAAAGTTAAAGAAAGAAAGAAAGAAAGAAAGAAAGTTAAAAGACGAAAAGAAAGAAAAAAGAAAGAAAGTTAAAAGACGGAAAGAAAGAAAAAAGAAAGAAAGAAAAAAGAAAAGAAAGAAAAGAAAAGAAAGTTAAAGAAAGAAAGAAAGAAAGAAAAGAAAGTTAAAAAGACGAAAAGAAAGAAAAAAAAAAGAAAGTTAAAAGACGGAAAGAAAAAAAAAGAAAAAAAGAAAAAGAAAGAAAGAAAAAGAAAAGTTAAAGAAAAGAAAGAAAGAAAGAAAGAAAGAAAGTTAAAAAAGACGAAAAGAAAGAAAAAAAAGAAAGAAAGTTAAAAGACGGAAAGAAAGAAAAAAAAAGAAAGAAAAAAAGAAAGAAAGAAAAGAAAAGAAAGTTAAAGAAAGAAAGAAAGAAAGAAAGAAAGTTAAAAGACGAAAAGAAAGAAAAAAAGAAAGAAAGTTAAAAGACGGAAAGAAAGAAAAAAGAAAGAAAGAAAAAAGAAAGAAAGAAAAGAAAAGAAAGTTAAAGAAAGAAAGAAAGAAAGAAAGAAAGTTAAAAGACGAAAAGAAAGAAAAAAAGAAAGAAAGTTAAAAGACGGAAAGAAAGAAAAAAGAAAGAAAGAAAAAAAAAAAGAAAAGAAAAGAAAAGAAAGTTAAAGAAAGAAAGAAAGAAAGAAAGAAAGTTAAAAGACGAAAAGAAAGAAAAAAAAAGAAAGAAAGTTAAAAGACGGAAAGAAAGAAAAAAGAAAGAAAGAAAAAAGAAAGAAAGAAAAGAAAAGAAAGTTAAAGAAAGAAAGAAAGAAAGAAAAAAGAAAGAAAGAAAGAAAGAAAAGAAAAGAAAAGAAAGTTAAAAGAAAGAAAGAAAGAAAGAAAGAAAAGATATTGTCTGAATTTTGATTTGAAATTTTCACTGTATAATTTTCCGTGTATATTATTATTATTTCTTTCCATGTCCCAACTAGAGACCTAAGGTCAGAAATGGCTTCATGACATTTTCAACTGATCAGTTTTGTAAAAATAAAATAAAGATCACATACATTTTACAGAGATGAAGCTGTTTATAATGTGTGAGTTATACTTGTCCTTACATTTTTTTGCATTTCTTTAAGGCATGGTCTATAAGGAATCCATTCAATGTGTCTTTCAGAATATTTTCCAATCAATCCGAGGGCCCCAACTTACTACAACTGGAAATATTGATGTCGTCAAGTGCCACATATTTTGAGGGTTCTACTTCAAGATCCTTGTATTTTGATAGGGTTTTGAAGATCTTCAAACATACAGTATAATCTGCAGGGACTACTATGTGAATAAGAAAGCATTATTATTATTATTAATTTATTTCCTTTGATTTCTGATTTGTACTCATTGCTTTCTGGGTCCCACCCAGAGACCTAAGGTTAGAAATGGCATCCTCCACTGAAAAAAAAATTACATAGACAAAGCCCTTCGTAAGGTGTGGGCTGTACTCGTGAGACCAATTTTTTGTATTTCTTTAAGACATGGACTTCCAGGAATCACTTCAATTAGTTTTACTGAAATCTTTTCCAATCAATCCGAGGGCTCCAACTACAACAGGGGTTGTTGATGTTCCCATGTGCCATATTTTTGAGATTTCAATTTCAAGGTCCTTGTATTTGGATAGCTTTTTGAAGATCTTCAAAGATACATTGCAGTCTGCAGGAACTGCCATATTAATAAGCAGACACCTTTTTTTGTGTGCAATATTATTTTTAATATTATACACCATTAAATTAAATGCATGGACAAGTAAATAGATTATGCTCGAAATGTTAAGTGTGACATAACTTGAAAGGTCAGCTGGTCGAGAAATATGCATCCACTTAATGCAGAAACAGCGTATAAAAAAGGGGCTCTTGTGTTTTTATATGTCATGTCCTTTCAGTGTGTGAGTGATCAGGGCTCTCCGCCACTTCTTAGGATTACGACCATATCACAGTGAGACACCGGTTCCCGTATGATCACCGAATTTAAGCCACCTCGAGCTTTGTCAGTACCTAGATGGGTGATCGCTTGGCAATATCAGATGTTGTAAGCTTGGATGTACGAGTGGTGCAATGGATATTGGCTCGGAGTGGTTAATCGGAGAGCCGGGTTCTAATTTCAGTTGGATTCGTTATATTCACTTACGCGCAAATACCCTTGGCAAAGGTCTGAATCCACTTCAGCTATGGGTTAATTGATAAGATTTGTATTAATAAATCATTATTATCTCTAAAAATGTCTGACAATCTAAAATATTTTCTGGCTTTAAATAACCTACAAAGGGTTGATAAAACAAAGCAATCAAATCAACTTCCTCTCCTTAAATCTACTCTTTTTTTAATTCCTTGTCTTTGTATCTACTTCGTTACTCATACTTATCGAGAAGGTTTTCTTGTTCCCTGTGACGTCCCTGAACACAGCCTTCGCTCGCTTCGTTCGGGTGTCGCCGCTCCAAACGTGACGTCCGCCTGTCGCGTCAATCGTGTTGTCTCGTCCTGTGACGACCAACTGGCTTGGTATCGGTCGCGGCACCCAAATGTGACGTTCTAACCTTTCGGTGATTCGGATGGGAATCTGGTTAGATTCGATATCAGCCTCGTCGTTCCCAATTCGCTTCCAACGCCTGGTTACCAAAGTAACTGCGTTGATCTCCAGTCCGCCTACCCACGTTGTGAATCGATCTTAGGCAGACGAAATCAATCAGTCGTTGGGGCCGCAATACAAGTTGGGTCCAAGCGGGGGTGGTATCGCACAAATACGTATAAAAGAAATAAAATGATAACTCAAAAGTTCAAGGTATCAAAGAAAAGGATAACAAACTTTATGTCTAGTTGTTGGATACATAGGACTGCGTCTTTCTCCTGACCCGTTCTATGGATTGTGACACGTTGTTTTCCGTTAGGCGAGTTTTAACACTTCAAGTTGTTTGCTCTTTAAGAAATTGGTTTTTTGTGTGTCTTCGGGCGAAAGTCGAAAAAAACTTATTTTGGTGGTCTGGATCTAAGTCTCTCTTCAAAATAATTGTTCTTTGATTGAAGATGAGTCCGGAAATTGCGCGAATCTTGGTCAGCTGATGCGAGCACCCTTCAACTCTCCGGGAAAACTTCCGCAACAACTCTCTGCTGGAACTCTCTGCTGGAACTGATTTCTGCTCGCTGCGACTTTGCTTATATGGACGCCGACGAAAACCGGGGTGGGTTTGTCGGCGTCAGAGGTTCCTCGATAATTCTAAATACATATCCACTTCTTTTATTTTTGGTTAGGAATTTTCCACTTTTTTTCCATTTTTTGGAGCCTTCTCTTACTCCCACCTTCTCACCATACTTCAGAGGGGCGTGAACTGCCCTCCCCACTTCTTCGTAGCAACCTCTCATACCCATCCTCTAGGTGGGCGGCGACAGCTTCCTCCTTGTGTCACGTGATCACCACTCGGCCAATGATATCCAGCCGGGCGTGTGCGATCCCGCGGGCTTTGTTTCAGGGAAAAAAAATATCTTGCTTAAAAAAAAAAATTATCTTTTTCTTTTCCTTTTCTTTCTTTTAATCGAAGTTCTCATTTTCTCTGGCCGCAAATAGAACAATGCGATCGGTGGTGGTCATAACTCTTGTTCTCATCTGGACTTCGTCAGTCAGATTATCGCTAATTATCAGAATGGGTGGTCTATTTGACACAACACAATCGTCCATCGCCTCGAAAAAAAAAACATTTCCATGGTTCCAGTCATTCTTTGGTGCACATTTCTGATAACATAGTTTTATTATCGCAGCCAAAGATGTCTTGTCAAAAGAAAAACGGTCAGTCGCCACCTCGTGTGCGGCTTTGACACAATTAATTTTTCATATCTATCCAAAGCCCTGTAGTTCACCTGTTTTTTGTCAATTATCAAACTAACATTTTCAATTGGATTTTTCTTTGGCTAGTCGGTCTGTGGTTTGCCAATCAGATGTTTTCCCGCATTAGCGGTTTGTTTATGTATCCCCGATAACACAGCTCGTCGCCAGAACACAACGATTCCCTTATCCACTTAGAATTTTTCTGTCATTGTAATGACAGTTTTTGCCATTTGCTACTTATCAAAATATCCTTATCCATTGTTCTCTAGTCGTGGGTGTCCTACTTATCATCCACGTTTGGGTCTCGCCTCTCTTTTCTTTTCTTTCCTTCCTCTCTTTCCTTTCTTTTCTTTTTGCCTTGGTAAATGGTGCCACATCCCACCCGACTTCTATTGCCTTAATAGGACATGTGAGTGTCAAATTCTCTAAGTCTACTTTAAAATTCCACCAGAAAGTAGCAAATAAATGAATGAAAATATGATTCCGTAAGTGGATCAAATGTTTGACATTGTTGCAAGGTTATTCCATTCTAAAAAATACCAGGAAAAAGGCTGTAGAAGGCAGCGACCGAAAACATGCGATAAATACAAACAAGGTAGGGAAATAAGAACGAAAGTATGGTTTTGTAAACGCACTTCTTTGAAATTCTGACCGAATTGCTTTACCTTCAAGATTACTTTGCTTCCATAGTGCATCCACTAATTAAGATCGTCTCTTTCACTCAGTGTTTTATAACAGAAAAATGCTTCATACGCGTGCAACCATTTTTTATCTCTTTTCACAGCGTGCTCGACAAAGCAGTTTCATTAACGCTTTAAACTGAATAAAATTCCCAAGCATGTACTTAATTTTATTTCATTAGTATTTTCACTTTGTTTTTAGTTTTTGACAGCGAAAAAAATGTTAGATTTCGTGACTTATTTTCTCAGCACACACCTTAAATGATTATTCTTGTTTTCTTTTTTTTTTGTGGAAGAGAATTCTTTCATCTTTCTTACTGTTCTTGAAATGTGCAAATGTGTAAAATGTTTCAACATGTGAGGGCGACATTTTTTGCGATTTTTTTTTCTTTCTTTTATGCCTGTCCGATTCATTTGGTCATTGCTTACATGTAAAAGCACAAATGTGATTAAGATGAAAGAAGCAAAATATCTGCAGGAGTAACCAGCGAAATTCGAATACATGAAAGACGCCAATGTATTTTGCCTTACACAATCTGACGTATTAAGAAGCTTTTATCATCCTCCTCATCATCAGAAACAACCGACCTGAAGCTGAGTTTGTGATTCGTCATGATAATTTATAATGTTTGAGGTGAATCATAATTTTTAGGATTAATAACTATCTTTGAGACTCCCTAACTTTTGTGATGAATCAAAATTTCTGTCTATATTTCTGAGATATTACGTACATTGTTTACATTATTCTGACTGTTGTCCTCATCTTTGTGGCCATATTTATTACAACGTTTCGGCTGTCGTAACAAATCCGGTCTTCTTCGTGGGGTTGGAATGTCGAACTGAACCCTTTATTTCAGTCACTGTTCTTATTCCACGTGCCATGTTTAATGGACGTCAGTTATCAGTTATTTCCTGTTAACCAGTAATAAGGAGTGCCAGAGAAAAGCGATAATAACAATAAAAATTGCAATACGAGCTCTGGTAAAAACATGATATGATAAAAGCAAAAATTGCAATATGAGCGCTGATAAAAATGATTGCTGATATTAGGCTTATAATATCCAGAAATTCATACACAGAAGTCCACAACGACACATGGCACAGTGGATAAAGGCATTAGTTAGATCCAGTCACAGGAGAGAACTGATAACTGACATCCATTAAACATGGTGCGTGGTACTAGAACAGTCTACCACAGTGAGCGAAATAAAGGGTTCTGGTCGACATTCTAACCACCTGAAGAAGGCCGGAGCGTACAAGGTCCGAAACGTTGTAATAAATATGGCGACGAAGATGAGGACAATAGTCCGAATAATGTAAATAGTGTACATAATACCTCATCTCAGAAATATAGACATATACTGAAGGGCTGAAACGTTGTAATAAATATGGCGACAAAGATAAGGACAATAGACCGAATAATGTAAATAGTGTACATAATTTTTGTAACTAAAAATTTACGCGTGTCATAATATTTGAGACTATTCGTACTGCTCGCAAATAATCATAATCTTTGAGGCAAGTCATAAATTTTGAATGAATAATAATCTTTGAGACTAGAAATATTATTTTAAAATGAGTTATAATATTTGAGACTATTCGTATCCATGGCGACTAATAATAAACTTTAAGATTAGTAACAACCTTTGAGACGAATCATAATCTTAATCTAATGAGCGAGACAGATATTAGTTTGTTTAATTTGTTATCCATTCTAAATATATATCATGAGATATATTTCTATAAAGAATCAATCAGATATCTCACACTTCGCATAAATTTATCAGATACCTTTCATATCTCTTGTCAAAGTAGACATCTTAGTTAAAAAATGCAAAAGGGTGTATTACCAAGAAACCAGTGAACAACCTAATCCTAGAAAGATCTTCAAATTTTTCGATTCAATACACTTGACGAAATCAGGATTCTATATATCAGTTACTGATATTTAGTTACATTTATATATATATATATATATATATATGTGTGTGTGTGTGTGTGTGTGTGTGTGTGTGTGTGTATTTTAAGACATTTTTATGTTTACACATTCTTTTTTATAGATACAAATATTTCAGTAAATACTCCGAGAAATTGTCATAGAAAATAATTGTCGAACTTTGTCCATTTCATAATGTGTGATGTCATTTGTTTACATTTGGATACGCATCGATCAGATATAAGTGTATGTGAGAAAATGATGTAAAATTGTAGTTTAAAAACAGTAAAATCGACCTTGCTAACCGGAACGCTCCTCTGTGGCGAAATCGGTAAAAGCACGCCAGGCTATATGAGAGTTCAGTATAGGATACAGGTTCGATTCCTGTCGGAGGACGCATATTTTCTATGACATTTTCTAGGACATTCAGGCCGGTAAATACTGTTTAATACTGTTTATTATCAACAGAGCATTTACTTAAATATTTGTATGTATAAAAAAAGAATGTATAAACATAAGAAATTCTTAAAATAATTATCGGACTATGTCCATTTCATAATATATTATTTCATATATATATATATATATATATATATATATA